TTTTTATAATTCCTGGTCACTCTTGCACCAGATGTCTAACTTGGGGTAACATTACATGAATAACATAAAGTCAACCTGAGTCTGTAGTTAAGCAGCATTTGAGATGGTCTATTCCAGGGCATTATCTCACATCGGTGAGATATTTACGTGGTAATTTACAATGTTCAGCAGTTGTAAAAAGTTTCCACCCTTTTGGATTAGAAGTACATTTTAAAAAAAGAGTGTCTCAAGTTAAAAACTAAAAAAAAGTTCTTTCATGGTAAAATTCTGTACAGTAATGTTAAGCACCACTTATGAATGGATTTTGTCTTGATGGTAATTGTTTTGATAATAAATTTTAAGTTTTGACGGACAATATCAGTAATGTTGGGTTGACGGTAAGAAGTTCTCGCCTTCGGTAAAATAATGTCTCCTTCGGTAAAAGGTTGTTGTCGCCTTCAATAAAACGTCGGCGTCGCCTTCGGTAAACGTCGGTGTCGCCTTCGGTAAAACATCGGTGTCGCCTTCGGTAAAAAGTTTTCACCTTTGATGGCAGGTTTAGTTTGCCTATTGAAGGCTTCCATCAGTAAGCTCTGCATCTGAAAGACAAAAGGAAGCAGTGTCACCCCCTGTTGTGACATCCAATGTCAAACTGTCTCAGTGGTTTTGTTTCTGAAAGAGAAGTCTCAAACCTGCACCCAACTCCACCTGCTCTGCCACTACAGGACCCGACCACCTGCCCAAGGTGGGTTCCTCACATTTAGACTGACCGCAGTTCAGTGCTGTGCTAAGACTGTTGTAATCAAATTGAAGTTTTAAAGAGCTAATTGTTTAATGAATGACTAATCACTATCTTAATTAAATTACTTTATTGATAAGGAATATACAAAACCTCACTTATGCTAAGAAATCACAGATGCAGGCCTTACGAAAATGGCTGGAGCTAGAGCTGGTACGAGTTGCCAAACTGGCAGAGAATGTTTTGTACTTGGCAAAGCCAGATCTATAGCACTGCACCTGTGCTTCTCCTGTGTTTTCTTCTGGAAACGAGGATCTAAATATTCCAAGCAGACTTTCAGTTTCCTGATGTGTGAAAAGAGGATTATAGGAAAACTAGCGGATTATTACATCTAAGCAAAGGCAAAGCTATTGATTAATTACATAGATTGTTAGCTATTCCTTAACAATAGTCAAGCATTGTAGAAACCCATTGAAGCCGTTAAAGACCAGTTGATGCCAGCTCTGCAGTTTAGATGAAAGCCAAAAGACAACTGAGTCTGTGCAAGAACCAAAGGTGAAAAGTACACCATGAAGAAGACTACGAGCCTTCATCCCCATGACCCTCCATGACCACCACCAGGAGGCACTACGAAAGTGCAGCTGGGAAGAATTGATATAAATGACATAGTAGAATTTATTTTAATACGAAGCGGGACAGGTTATGCATATGTATAGCCGTATTGTGCAACTTTATGAATATGTAACATTTTAAAGTATATATCCAAGGCGAACACCACGTTGAGGCGCGCACGACTTTGGTGGGATACCCCTGTGCCACCCAGCACTGAACAAACATACCTACTTTGCAATCAATCGATTGTGGAGTCTGTTTTCCGCACGTCAATGTGTTTCTTCTTTTTCTTCTTTTTCTTATGTTTGCGATTGTCATTGTCAAAGCGGAGCACAGAGTAATCCAAATCATAAGGTCTGAAGGAAACACGCAAGCTAAAAATTGAAAAACTGATGTGGCACTTGATGCATACCTGAAACGTTATTTATTTTACCACAGGTGATGACCTGCAGCGTGTCAGCTATTTTGTGGTAATTTCTGCACATCCAATTTACTTTAGATGCAGCAAATTTAAGCCCTCACAATGAAGATCCTTGTTTGTACACAAATCATTAACAGGGCCTAGTGGTGAAATATGTGGAATTAAAATTAAAAAAAAAACCAAAAACTTGCTGTAATCTAATAAAGAACGATGAGCAGATGTGATTCTAACTACATGGTCTAGATCTAGTGTTCTAACACAATTCAGCAGTATCTTTCATATCTTCACTTGACCAACCTAATGACATGATCCCCAGCCAGCTTATGCGATATAAGGAACTTAGAAACAATGAAAAAAAGGCAGACGTGAGAAACACCCAGGACAGAACTAGGAAAAAAAAAATTGTTTATTATGCTGGAATCCTTGCTTACTTGTAATCCTTCTCTCGATGTTTATCTTTGGACTTCTTTTTCTTCTTGACCTTCTTATATTTTTTCATTCTTTGGTCACCTATCTTTCGGCATTTCTTTTCTATTTCACTTTCGCTTCCTTCCGTGTGGCTATATTTTCTTTTGCCATTTCTTAGTTTTTCTCTTTCATTTTCCCGGGAAGAGTCCTCAAAACTTGCATGAGCTGGCACGGGTGGAAGAGTGTGCCTTTCACGAGAGTATTTTTCAGGCTGCTGCTGTGGTACTGAACAATGATGTAAGCTTGCTCTGTGGCTGCTGAAGTGATGTACGTCTTCCTCTCTAGGGAGTGTGTGGTGAGACCGTCTGCTTTTGCAGTGATAATCCTTATGTGACCTGTTGTAAGATTGACTCGGTTTGTCAAAGTCTTTATCACAATAAGAGGACTTTCTCTCTCTACCATCTCTTGTTCCATGAGAAAAATAATAATCATTGTAGTATCTGCATTTCTCCCATCTCCGTGGTTCATCTTGATAGTACCTTTCTCGGCTCCAAGTTCTCTCTCCTTTGGAATGATAATACCTATTCCGGTCTTGTTCTGTTCTTTCTCTGCTTCGGGATCTGTAATGGGAATATTTTCCTGAGCTTTTGCCATTATTCGGACTGTTTCGTTCATTATGGGAAGACCTGTACTTGTTTTCATGGCAATACTCCTGCTTATGACGATTTTGCCTATCCACGCTGTGAGAGGACCTCCTCTTGTGGGAATGATCATCTGCTTTACTTCTGGTTTGCTTCTCCTTCTCTTCAGTGTCCGAGTTTTCTCTCTTCCTTCGGTAGTGCTCTTTATCAGTTTTTTTAGAGTCGTGTATTTTTTTCTTGTTTTTTTTCCTATGTTTATCTTCTTCACAATTTTTAGTACTCAGTCCCTCATTTTCTCTAGAAAATTGACTCTCCAAAACTTTATCCAGCTTTGTAATGGAAGAGTCATTAACAGGTGGTACCTCTACATAGTTATTAGAAATGTCCTTTGTATCTTGGCATTTATCTGTAATATCTAAAGATGCAAGTTTTTTAGAACTACATTCAACATCAGACTTCACAGAGGAAGTTGGGCCTAATTTCTCTTCGCTCTCAGGAGACCCTCTGATGTACAAAGGATTTTCTTTTGAAATGAGTTCAGGTTCTTTTGCTCTTCTTGTTTTCTCTTTGTCTCTACTGTCTTCAGACTCACACTGCCCAAGGAATTCATCTTCAGTGTCCAAGGATTTTTTCCTGACCTTGTGCTGACCATTGATACTGGGATGTGCATTATCAGCTTTTTTTATAATACTTTCAGCAACTTCTTCTTTGGTAGAAATGGTTTCAGAATTTGACTGATTAAAAAGATTCTCTACTTCACAGCTAAAGTTGGAAGGAACCTTCCTGGATTCTTCATAGGCAAACAGTGCTTCCATCACTACAGTTTCCCGAAGAGCATCATTCTCAGATGATTTCTGAGGCCCAGGGACGCTGCACAAAAGAAAAACATTGGGTTCAACTTGAAAAGGTATTTCTGCAAGACGAATGTTAGGAGTAAAATGCCCTTAAGTAAAAAAACTGGTGGCTACTGGAAAACTCTGAAAAATATTCCCTTTAGAAACCTATTCTTACACCTTCTTCATCTCCCAGGAAAGGTCTTTATTCTCCCGATTCTCCAAGTATTGCATTGAAAAACCCACACCCAATGTATCTGTCTACCTCCACTTGCTGCTCTGAATCATATCAACAGCCAAAACCACTGCATTTCTCTCCCCTCAACTAGAAAAAACTAAACACATGGATTTTCCGCTCTCCCAAATGGGAGCAGATGGTGGAGATTTACATTCACATGTCCTACAACAGAAAAAAAGGGAAAGCAGAATAGAAAAAGTACTCCAGACAATGGAAAAAATGGGAAAACATTCTATGAAGAAATCAAAGTTATCCAGGAGCCATTCTCCTGTATTTAATATCAAAATAATATATGCCCAGTGCTGATGTTTGCAACACTAGATGTACAGACTGGAATTCTCTATAGTGATTTATACTGATTTCTACTAAATAGTACTATAGGCAGGTAGAACAATGATAAATTTGTATGAAGAAATCTTTTATTAATCAGAGTGTACTCATTTTACCTTATTTCCTCTGACAAGCTGTTCAACTGGTCAAATGTGAGAGATTCAAACGGTGACAAAGATAAAGGTATCTACAATTAAAACACAGAAGTTAAGAGACAAAAGAAATACTATCTTTAGTAGAAAACTATTGCTTGCAAAATTGCTCCATTACATGTTAAACAAGATCACCAAGTTATATGCGCTATCCCCATTTTACATATCACCCCACGCACCCCCCAAATATATTTATGAAGCTTATGAAGTATTATCTCAGCTCAACTTGAGTTGACATGTTCTCATATGTCAGCTCAGCTCCGCAAATTCTAATGCAATAGTAGCACAAAGCGTTACAGTGAAATTTGTGCTGTGCATTTTCTCAGTATT